CCTCAGGGTTATCTGCATCCAGATAGGACAGGTCGGAGGGAGTGGGTCCCCATCCCCTAAAAGGCAATCGGGCTGTGGGAATGCAGAAGTGGCTTACAGGTTCTGATCACGAACAAAACCTGTCTGGTGTCGGTGTCCCCCAGGCAGGAACCCAGGACTGCTTAGGAGCACACTCTCCTTGTTCAGAGGAGAAGCTGAGGCCAGAGGGAAATGGAGAAACTCTGCCTTTTCTGCTTGCCTCTGGCTGGGTGCTGGGGTCGCATCCTCCCTCCCTCATCCCCGCAAGGCTGCTGAAGGCAGCTTGGCCCCTGCTTTGGACAGCACTCACCAGGGATCTGCTCAGACCTGGCTGCACCTCCCCACTTCCACAGCCTTTTTGGAATATTTTCTATGTCGTCTGGGCGTGAAGGGTCTGCTGAAGCCTCATTTCCGTTACAACGAATGGGGCCAGAGCTGCTATGGGGACTGCACCCTGCCTGGTTCTTGGTCAGGGTCTCAGTCAAGGCTGGGACTGGTTTTCCAGTCGTTCTCATTTCAGGACCAGATTCCCACAGAGCCAGGAAAGGTATCCCAACACCCAGCTCTCCCTCACACCCCTGCCTCCCTCTAAATCTGGCTATGCACAGACAGGTGTGTTTTCCAATTGCAGAAGGCATAGCCAGATTTAGAGGGAGGCAGGGGTGACTCCAGAGTTGGAACCTCTGAGGTAGGGGTCCCCACCTCTCAGGAATTTAGCTATATCACGTGTTCTGATCGGTTCAGTATGTGCACACAGCCAGGTTACACGACATCTTTGTATTTCGATATTTTATATCATGCATCTGAAAACAGGATGCAGAGATCCGTTTACTATCAGCTCTTTCCGGCTTTCTCTTTCTTAGCCTTCAGAGGCTCACTGCTCCTCCCCTCCCAGCAGGAACCCCTTATCCTCTTCCCAATGAAAAGGTGTTTGATGGAAGTGAAGTTCCTTGTGGGACAGGAAAGTCCCCTGAGAGTTCCAGGGACTAGGCTGGGAGGCAGGGTCCACATTGGGTCCCTCACACGTGGGTGCCAGGACCAGAATGGAGAAATTCAGTTTCTGGGGGTGGGAGGAACTATGGTGTTGATGGTGGTGTTCACTTGCTGCTTAGGTTAGGGCTCATTGTGGAAGGGTGGTGGTGTGACAGTGGGAGCCTGGAAGGCAAGAAAGCCCTTGAAGGTTGCCTTCAGTGCTGGCTCTGTCTAAAGGCAGGCAGTCTTTAGTTCCCAGGTAGCCCTCAGGCGAGCCTAGGAGGAAGGAGGGGCAAGATGGCCATGACCATAGCGTGGGCTCTGAGTCCTGGCAAGCTGTGTGGAAACTACAACCTGATGGATGTTTCACAGTTGAGGGTGTGGCACTTGCCAACAACAGTTGGCATAATAGAGCATCCCTCTGTGCCAGGCCTGTGCCAAGCACTTTACACGTTATCCCCAATGTTATCCCCTGTACAGATGAAAGGAAGGCTCGCTGATATTTGGTGCAGGGTACCTGGATAAAGGAACACAGACCTACTAATAATAAGTCAGGCTCCAGACTCCCAAGGAATCACACCCACTCAGTCCCTCCCCGAGACAGGGGCAGCACTGTGCTGCCAAGACGCCATCAGAACCCTCTCTTGGGTGGGGTCATTCTCAGGCGAGGAGCCTGCTGTAGATGACCCAGCTTGGTCCAGTTTACCCAGCAATGCACAGACAGCTGAGAGAGGAGCTCCCATCTCTGCTTCCTGGCCTTGTAGGGGACACAGCGAGGTGCTCTTAGATGGCGGCATTTGAGAGAAAGTAGACTCGCGCATCAGTAGGACAGAAAGGGACAGCGATCACGTGTGTGCTGCACAGGCGGGAAGGGAGAGGGTATGGCAGGTCCTGGTTGGTGGCAGGAGCTCTCCGGGTCTGAAAACTGACAATGCTAAGTAAGATAGTTCTAGGTTCGTCAGTCCAGAGCAGCAGAAGGAAGCTGGGCGGGTACCAGACGGATCTAAAGATGAAAGTCTGAGCCTTCTGTCCTAGCCTTAGAATGAGTCTCAGAACAAAAGTAGGAAAATGGTGCGTTTCTGTAGAAGAGACTCCAGAGGAGGGCACCTATCCCTGAGAACCGGGGCAGGCAGCCCTCGGCCGTGGCCGTCCGTTTGTCCGATACGTGGCCGCAAATACAGTGAAGTCAGGCCAACGAACACTCTGTCCAGAAAGCAGCTCTTTCCCGGCGCCCGGCTGCTTGGAAAACCAAGGCATTGCAGCTGGCGCACATCTGTACCCTGAGCCTGGCGGGGCAACTGAGCAGCCAGCAAGGCGCCAGCGCCAACTAGTGGGCAGTCCCCGCCACTGCTTCAGCCCGGGAGACCCTTCGCCCGCCACCTCGGGCTGCAAACTGGGAACCAACACTTCCCCAACTCTAGGTTCTGGTGACCACAGGGGGCGGGCGCCATCCTAGGGTTGTAGCTGAGTCCAGATCCAGGATCAGACGAGGGGGCCCCCCAGAGCCTCATTCTCTGGAAACCGGTTTGTTAACTCGCTGCAGGGACAGAAAAAGAAAAAAAGAAATTAGGCGGAGGGGCTAGTAAATGAGGCAGATGCAAACTGGAAATCCAATTTACACACCACTGAGGCATCAGGTCACGGCCCACAGTCGTTCGAGGGTAGAGTAGGTGGCTCGTCGAGGGTCTGGGCCCTACCTGGTGGCAAGCAGTGGTCCCTTTCCAGGGGAGCCCCTTGAGGTCACACATTACCAGGCTCGCAGGATTTCCTCTGGTCCTGAGACTGTTGCTGGAGCTTCGGAAGGCACAAGGACCTTGGCCTAGTGATAGTCAACTCCGAGTCATTGGTCCTCTAAAATGTCCAGTAAAGGACCTTCACAGTCCCTTGATTCCTTGATAGCCTGAGGCGCTAACTTGAGGTCCAGAGAGGAGCGCAAGACAATTCTCCTGGAGTTCCTCGGATTCAGGACAGAGCTCATGCCCACTGTCGTGCGCCTACGGCCTGATTTCGTTTTTTGACAAAATGGAGTGTGCTAGGCTGAGGTCAGATACAGGATGAAGTCTTGATGCCGCCGTCGGATCCTAGGTAGTGTTGCTCTTGGGGCTTGGAATTGGTCGTTATAGACGCGTCCACTGCCACTGGCAACGAAAATGCAGTCGAATTTCCAAATCACTGAGAGAAACGCAGGCGTTCGTTCCCGCAGTCCAGGGAGTGCAGTTGGGGGGCGACCCCCAGTGACTGTGGGCTCTCCTCTGCTCTCTAGCCCTTTAGCTGTGTGCCTGTACGCCCATGCTGGGCCTAGGAGACGAGAGAAGGAAAAGTTGGGGGCAGTGAAGCCCAGGAGCGGCCGGGCCACCGTCATGAGTAACCGTGGAGACCCCAGGACCGATTTCCCACAGCGCCCCTGACAGCGCTGTAGATCACAGCGCACTAGGGCCAAGAAGACCCCTTTCCATCCACAGGGAGAAAGCAGTCCGGCTTCTCTCCAAGCCACTGACAGCTTTCTTCCTGTCACAGATCGGCAGATCCTTTCCACGACACGGGAAGGAGGCTGCATGCGGGGCGGGGGGCTTGGTTTGACACCAAAAAGCACACGTGTTGCAGGCCCTACTGTATTTTTCAAAGAGCCACCGGCCGCCACGACAGAGAACGACTCCACGAGGCCTATAGATCCTGAAACTAGTTTTGATTGGACAGGGTGGTTGACCCCAACCCACTGCTGATCCGTGTGGGAACCCCCATTCTGTCTGCCTGGAAGGTTGACACAGAGGCCACTGAAGGCCGAGACCGCGCGGAGCTGGGGAACGTGGAATCCCGCGTGGGGAGGAAGCCCTGGGGTCAAAATCGTTTGTCGGGTGGAGGGAGTGAGGAACCAGCCTTGGGTGTCACCGCAGCGACCAGTTGAGGGTGCAGGTTCCGGGCTGCGGTGGCCAGAGCTGGAGAGCCCAGGCTGCGACCCGAGGGAGGGGGACGGAGGCTCAGCCCAGGACGCTGGAAACCCATCTCTGCCCCAACGGCAGC